GTTTGGCCAGTAGCCAGGCAGGAAGTATAGGCAGGACAAGAAGAGAGGAAAATGCTTGGGAAGTGGAAGGCTGAGAAGAGAGATGCTGCTGCTGCCGCCGCCGCCGCCGCCGCCATGAGAAGATGTAAAAGTACTGGTAAGCCACAAGTCACGTGGCAACTTACAGAATAATAAAAATGGGTTAATTTCAGATGTAAGATCTAGATAGCAAGAAGCCTGAGCCATTAGGCCAAACAGTTTAAGTAATATAAGTCTCTGTGTGTTTGCTTGGGTCCAAGCAGCTGCAGGCCTGGCAGGTGAGAGAGATTTGTACTGACTGTGGACCAAGCAAGACCAAAAAAACTTCAGCTACACACACACACACACACACACACACACACACACACACACACACACACAAGCAAATTATATGTAGCACATAATAGCCTACCAAGTTTTAAGGGGGAAAAGCAATTATAAATGTATAATAATGTCAGGGTTTTGAAAAAAAATAAAAACAAAAAAACCATGCTATTTATTTACATCACAATGCATACTTTATTTCTCCCTAATTTTAAAAGGAACAGAAACTATTTGATTTCCTAATGAAAAAAAAAATGCAAGAAAAGAAATCATCTCACAGTGCCATTTACCTTTAATTCATACCCCGCTTTAGAGCTTAGAAAGTATTTTCATTAGCATTTTCTCATGATTCCTATTGCAATCCTGCAAAGATGGTATAATTACAACCTTATTTATGCTGTAAAGGGAGAGGGCAGTTTGAGTAAAGTACTAGCCCACAATTACTTTGTTTTTAAAAATTACAATAACAAAATTGGAGTCTAAATCTTGTACTTCTCTAAGCCATCAAAACATCTTGCTGATGTCTCCTTTCCATTGCCTCCATGACGGAGTCAAGGTTTATGAATCAGGAATTCAAGGCCTCACTAATGCCATGAAGAATCCTCCTGCCCACTATCCCAGCTTATTTCAATCTACTCATCGCTTTGGGCATAGCTAAGTACAATCTCACGAACTCTTCTGTCTCCAGACAGAGGTAATCTTTCCTCTCACAGCTCTGAAATCTTAGGGCTGCATCCCTGAAGAAAGACACTTATTAAACATCCCCATAAGGTTTGACTATTTGTACAATGGAACTCATCCTCAGTTACTCAAATCCGTGCCCTCATCTCACCAACATGCCTATGCCTATGCCAATCCTACTACCATGAACATTTCTTTCACTCTCTGAACTTTCTCAAAGGCCCATGTTCCTAACCATCCATCCTTGACTCCTGTTTCTTGGTCAGTTCTGAAGAAGCATCCTTCGGAAAGCCTCCCTTCTCTGCCCCACCCCAACTCTGGGCCCAGTGCCCTCTGCTGTTCTCCTTGACAGATAATTGCCTCCAGTCAGCCTAGGCCGTTCTAGCTGGCCATTTACTGTCTATTTACAAAGCCTCTAAATTTCAACAAAGACCGTTTTACTCATGGTTTGCTATGCTGTATATGTGTTTTAGCCCCACAAAAGTTTGTTTGCAGGAAGCGTGACCTCTGAGATTGGCAATCTAATGGCAGTAGAAGCTCTACATCAGTGGTTCTCAACCTTCCTAATGCTGCAATCCCTTAATACAGTTCTTCAGGTTGTGGTGACACCCCCAACCACAAAATCATTTCGTTGCTACTTCATAACTGCAATTTTGCTACTGTTCTGAATCATAATGTAAATATCTGATATGCAGGATGTCTGATATGTGACCCCCAAAGGGACCAGACCCACAGGTTGATAAACAATGCTCTATATGATATGAACTAGGGGATGAACACTGAAGGGCACTCCCAAAGGGGAGGTTAATCTCCAACTCTCATGGGGTTAGGTCTTGCACAACCTCATAGACTACACACCTGAAAAGCAGATTCTTAAAAAGCTTTGTCAGCTGGTTTTCCTGCTCCCTCACTCATGACATGACCTTCCCTGATGTGACATGACATGACCATGATGTGACACATTAGTGGTTCAGGGACTTGTAACAGACCATAGGACTATGCTGTTAGGACCCTGTGACAACTGGAATTATGAACCACATAAACCTATTTCTTTTATAAATCACTGACCTTCAAATATTCTCTTAAAGAAACACAAAATGGATTCAGATACGGTTGAAGGTCAGCACTCAACATAGTTTTGGACCATTATCAAATTAATTTGCAACTAGATTTTTTTTAATTATTCTGTCTGATTAATCCAGAAACAAAGTTCAAACTACAGAGCTTTACAGAGCAAGTACTAGTTAAGCAATTATTAAGCAGAGAAATTTCATTAGCAGAGGGTCTAAATTAATTATTTGGAGCCTTAAAACAATATTGATTGAGCCGCATACTATTAATACAAATACTATTAATACTAATGTCTACTATATGGTAAGCAAGGCAGCAGTTCAAATCAATGTAGCATATACTAAAATTTACTAGTAACTGGATCAAACCTAAGAATACTCAGTTATTTGTGAAATCATTGGCACTTTATAATGGTCATTTGCAGTTACTTATAGTCCTTCAATTACCTGTACCATCAAGCTCTAAACTCCAAATTCCATGGTCTCTTCATCACCTGACTTCATCATCTAGAGAGTTTCAATATTCTAATAGCTGCTAATAAACAAACCCATTTTGAGCATTTGAAAGCCTTCACCTGACCACCATCAAGCTTTTCCTTTTTCTTCAATCTATAAAATTGACTATCCATCCTTTAAAGTAACAATCATAGTCCACTTCTTCCACAATGTTGCTCTTCATTCTAAACAGTCTAGCTCCAGCTCAGCTTTAATTCACACACCCATTCATGCATGAGCTTACTCATTCACAAGCACTTACTCAGGAGCACCTGTTTCATGACAAACACTGTGCACACAGCAGATTCTAAATATCCATCAGCTAAATGGATTCATGTAATCACAAATGCTGCCTTCTCCAAAATCCTCCAGTCATTTAGCAGTACACAGATTTATGCTAAGGGTTATATTAATTGTAGATGAATATTGATAAAGGCTTACTAAGTCTGTTAAAGTCATTCCTAAATATCATAACAAGACACCAGAAGCAAAGGAAAAACTCAGAATATTTGCACTATATGGGAACTGAGGGATTAATTAGATCTTTAAAAAGCACACAAAAATAATAACACTCCAGTAGTAAAAGTCGCAAAGGACACATAAACAGGCAATTCATAGAATACAAATGTCCCTAACAAAAGCATAAATATAGTTCATCTCACTGGAGAATTGCAAATTGAAACAATAAATGGTGTCCTTGTTTATCTGTTTTGGACAGATGAGCAAAGCTCTCACCCTCAAGGCTGACAAGGGCATTCGGTGTACAAGTACTAATTATAAAGGCTCAACAGATAAAAACACTTGTCTAAGCAAGTCTGACCTCCTGAGTTTGATCCCTGGAGCCCACAATGGAAGAAGAAAATCAACTCCAAAGTTGTCCTCTGACTTCTACACACATGTACCATGTCCCAACATTTGCACACAACAGTAAATATATAAAAATGTATTATCTATAAAAATAAGAATAGCTTTTCTAAAGAATAACTCGGCAAAACAAGGAAAGTAAATATACACGCTTTGACTCAAAAATTCTGCTTCTATGATCATTATCTCAAAAAAAAAAACCAAAAGGGTGTGTGTGCGTGTGCACATGTGTGCATACACAACTTATGTGTAGGACGTATGTATGAGAATCTCATTTAAGAATAAGAAACAATAAAATCCCTTGATGAGAAATACATTAAACGAATCTAATCACTAGGCCACAAAGATAGCAGTTAAACCAGATAAGACAGAGGCCCAAGAGATTGGAACACACCTAAAACCAAGCTCTCAGGAGGCTGAGGCAGGGATCCTAAGTTCCAGGCCAGCCTAAGTTGTACTCCAAACCTTGTCTCAAAGGAGAATAAGACAGTAGACTTATTATAAGTAAGACTATTTATATGATAGTCTTTTAACAGTACATTGTTACATAGGAAAACAGACTCTAAAGAGTATGACTATATTCAAACCTGTCTAAGGTGTCCCCTAACAATAGTGAATCCACTCTAAAATATCATTTATAGAAGTTCCAAATGTGTCAATTTGTGCCGGTGAGAATTCCTGGAATACGTTAACCTACTGGGCTTTTGTCTTTCTAACTCTAAAATTCTTTAACTCTAAGAATTTTGGACATCAGAAATCATCAGTGGAAATTTATCACAAGGCCTCAGAATCCCTCTGTGTGCCAGTGCCTTTTCACCATCAAAATACAAGGAAAGGCAATTTTTTCATCCAGAATTTTGAATCCATTACAAAAATTAAGCTTTAATACTAAATCTTTGATAATCAATGACAATTTGTGTTGAATATACTCAATTCATGGAAATCACAAATTACAACTATTTACTTGAATAGACTATTCATATTGTTTAAAAAAAAAAGTAAGATCCTTTAAACATTTAAAGAGATCAATCCAAAACTGTTGAGTGTAAGTCAAATCCACTGGAGAACAATTACAAACAGCCATGAGGCCTTATACAGGGGCAGGACTGGGAATCTGGAGTCGGAAGACCTGGAAATAAAGATCACTCCTTGGGCTCAAGAATTTCCAAGTAAAAGAGTCTCTGACACAGATCTGAGAAACATGGATAAGCATGAAAAAGGATTAAATGCAATGCCTGGGAAAGAGAACCTCAAGCAGTATCTGGGCTACAGCAGGTTCCCAAACATCTGCCTAGTAGACAGCTGCTCTGTTATTTTTGGTAAAGGTGAAAGCATACCTCCACTTATCTGTTTATCTGAATTTTTTTAATGTGTCATGCACAGCCACTCAGTTTTAATTTTAAACTGTTAACAAACAGGAGCTCCTTGCCTCCCGACCCCGACCGCCATTCCCAAATCCTTGCTGTTGGCATACCCTTTCCCACTTTGAATATACAACAATGTCAAAGATTTCCTCAGACGCTAAACTCAAAGAGCAAGCATACGTACAAAGTACACTCCCAGAACTCTGTGTTGCTGTCCTTTGAGCTCAGTGCTCTTCTTAGGCACGGATGCCTGCCTCCTATCATTTCTTCATGAGATTCCGGGCAAAAGGTCTAGTCAAGTAGATGCTCTTTTGGGTTGCCTCTACACTTCCCCCAAAACACCTACAAACCAATGAAACAGGCAGTAAACAGAACTAGAACTTGACATTTTTTAATGAAAATTATCTCATCTTCCCTATGCACAGATTAGAGAATACCACGGAACACAGACAGTACACTCCTATGGTCACCCAAAAGCCCAAATGATATCCAAATGCCCAGCCTGCAGATTCCTTATAAGTGGCATTTTCTGCCCATGCCTAGTCATCATCATTGGACTTGCTAGATCACACTAGGGGATGAACCGTACCTCAAGTCTAGCCAAAAGTACTAAGTATATCAACTGGGAGACTAGACTGGGTAATAAAATGAACATGGTTTTCTGAATGTGCTGGCTCATTTGTAAGTCTAGGCCACCCTCCACCTCTTTAAAGACATATTACGTATGGTGGATCAGTTCTCACAGTGAATGGTAAAACTAATAAACCAAAGTATTATATATTTGGCTGAAGAAAAGTGCAGTGGGTAGAAATGTTTTCAACACTCTCTAACTACTTTTAAAATTGTAAAAATCCACAGGAAAAAAAAATCATCTAAGAAAACCACTGTGAGTGTATATCAATAAGCCATTTCAAGAAGTGTATTCTGGGAAAAGTAAATTGCTGAGAACCTGAGAGATGTTCAGGGTGGCCAGCTAAGCAACAGTTTAACACACACTTTTCTGACAAAGTAGCAAGCCCTACCACATGGTGAGTTCTAGAGCAGCTAGGATTACATGAAACAGTGCTTCTCAACCTTCCTAATGCTACAAACCTTTAATACAGTTCCTCCTGATGTGGTGACCCCCCCAACCATAAAATTATTTTCATTGCGACTTCATAACTGTACTTCTGCTACTATTATGACTCAGAATGTACAATGTGTGTTTTCCAATGGTCTCAGGCAGCCCCTGTGAAAGGGCCAGTCGATCCTGTGGGGTTGCGACCCACAGGTTGAGAACTACTGCTCTAGGCCAATGCACAGCTGTCAAAGTTCATCTTCCTGCTGTGGTGTCCAGTACAGCAGTCATATGGCTACAACTCTAGAAGTCTGGCCAGTTCAAACTGATACACACTATAAATACAAAATGATAATACATGCTAGATTCTGAACATCCAGTACCATTTTCCAAAAAAAAAAAAAAAAAGCATAAAATACAGCCCTGGTGGTACCACACACCTTGGATCTCAGCAGTGTGCAGGCAGAGGTGTGCATCTCTGTGACTTGGAGACCTGTCTGGTCCATCCACATAAAGAGTTCCAGGCTAACCAGGGCCACACTGTGAGACCCTGTCTAAAGTGTGTGTGTGTGTGTGTGTGTGTGTACATATAAGTTTGATATTTACTCCATGCCAAATATAAATATTTTATGTACTATGACAAATTAAGATTAATCTCAGCAGTTTCCTCATACTTTTAACACAGGTACTGTAAAATTAAAAACCACCTGTATAGTTCGCATGGTATTTCTTTCTGTTAGACACAATCAGTTTTGGAAAGAAGTGCTGAGAATTTGCTTTGAGCTAGGCAATGCGCCAAATGTTTTGCATAATCCTGACAGGACGCTACAACATTTAGCTTTACCGAACCTTTGCCTAACAGACTCGGTCCATTAAAGCAATACAGATGCAGCTGGGATTCGGTATTTCCACGAATTAATTCCAAAAGGGGGCTGCTAACCGCTAGGACCGGGCATCTCCTAAATTAGCATAGGAATATCAAGTGACCAGAAGACAGAGAAGCACCAACTTACACCCTCGGAGCCGTCAACTAAATGTCAGCTAGCTAAAGCGTCTAGAGTAGCTTGCCCATGGCAAGCTACTCAAAAGCCAGGACAACGCACGTTCAGAGTGAGATTAGCCAGGACCTGACCATGGACCACCTGTGGGGGGGTGCAAACACGCCATCGCCCCCAACTTGCCAACGCTGCACCCACACACCCGGCCCCATCCCACTTACTCCTGGCTGCTCTGGTGTCTCCACCCTGGGACAAGGGGAAGTGGGACGTAAATGTCTCTGCAGGGGGGAAGTGAAAAAAAGGACAAGGGAGCAGATGGGACAGGTACCTTAGACCCAAGGTGACTCCAGGTTCTTAACGCCGGATCATCGCCGAGGCCCCACCCGGCTCCCGCGGCTACCAGCGACCCCGAAGGTGCAACCGACTCAACGCTGCGGCGCAACCGACTCTGCTCAACCCTGACTCGCAGCTATGGCAACTTGAACTAGCCGCCCAGGCGCGGCTAGGAGCACTGGACGCGCCACCGCCGCTTGGCCCTCTGGGAGCTGTAGTCCATCCCACGCTCCAGAGCAGAGAGATCCAGCCACAATGACAGTAACTAAACTGCAAGTCCCAGCATGCTCTGCATCTGGCCTCTAGGTTCCTTTCCCGGAAGAAGCTGGATAAGCGGTCTTTACCAACCTAGGGCCCTGCCTTCTAGCCCGGCTCTAATTTTGTTTTTTTAAAGGGCCAGCAGCTTGTGAAGACGCAAACGCCTGGCAGAAAGCGTTCAAACGCTACCTTGGCAGTGGAGTGAAATTTTACTCATGAGGAAACATCAAAGGATAAATAATATCCAGCAGTGAGATGTAAAAAATCGCTTTAATGTCTTGTTTTAAAGGCTTTGGACTGGAGGGGAATAAAGAAGTTGATCAAGTGAAACACTTTCTGCCTGCAGTGGCTCGGCTAAGATCTTACAGCTCTTCCAATGGCAATCTACAAATGCAGTGTGGGGTGGTCTGTTCATTACTACTGTGTTCCGTCCTCACTAGAACATGAAAGAAGTATTATCTGCTCAGGAAAAAAAAAAAAAAGTCAGTTTCAGCCACGATGAGAGAATTAAAACCTCGACGAAGGCAGGAGCTTTGGAAAACCTAAGAAGTGAAAATCCATTAGGGACGTCCATAATCTTTTCTTTCTACTCTGCCAATAAAGGACACTGACCTGACCCTCCCCAAAACTAGAATCAAAATTTACATGATCTATGGACGTTTTCCTGAAACTTAAAAAAAAAATAAAATAAAATAAACCCAACTATCAGTGGTTCTCAACCTGTGGGTCACGACCATCAGAAAACATATTTCTTTTGCTGTTGTTGTTATTTTTGCTTTTCGTGACAGAGTTTCTCTGTGAAACAGTCCTGGCTGTCCTGGAACTCACTCTGCAGACCAGGCTGGCCTCGAACTCACAGAGATCCTCCTGCCTCTGTCTGGGATTAAAGGCGTGGGCCACGACCGCCTGGCAGAAAACACCTATTTCTTCTGATGGTCTTAACAACCCAGACACTGCTCAGTAGCAAAATTATAGTTATGAAGTAGCAACGAAAATAAATTTATGGTTGGGGTTCCTAAGACCATCGAAAATGTGTATTTTTCTGATGGTCACGACCCACAGGTTGAGAACTGTCTACTAGATTGTCTTATGATACAGGCTGTCTATTTTGACCACTGTACAGGAATAATTCATTTCCCACTTAATCCTCTCTCTCCTTTGGGTCTTGAAACAAGGGGACCTGACTTTTAATGTATCTCCTCCCCCCAAATTCCCACCCTGCTCACACAAAGGCTTTTCCTATCCAATTTAAACACACATTCTTCGAAAGACTTACCTAAGTATTTGCATCAACAGCTGTGCCTCTAGAATACACTCCACCTGACACAAAAAGAAACATAATTCAGAACAGTCATTCAAACAATGCCTGCAGAGGCATAATGGCTCGGTTTCTTAACGGCTAAATTTCACAAAATAATTTGATTCAGCTTAGCAAATGTGCATATTGAATCACCTTAGGATCCTGTCATTCTATTAGACACAAGACACAAGGATAACGAAGAGATTAAAAAGAGCAATCCTTTTGTTTAAGCTGCTCAGAGCCAATGGAAGGAGATGACAATTCATTACAATGCTGGGGGGTTGGGGGAGATAGACACTACATCAGTATCTAAGTAGAAACATAAAAGAGAACCTTCCTTTGGAAATATATCTGATCAACTGCCAAAAAATGTACTACCATAATGCTAGAGTAACTTCGAACTACGTTAGTAGAAACTGGTTGTTGATAACATTTTTGTCCAGCTGTATTTATAAGATTGAATTCAATTCTATTGACTCCATTTTAAAGCGATAGTGGTCAAGCAAAGAAAAAAATTCTGAAGACACAGCTGGGACCACAGAAAAAGAAATCAGATTTGAGTTAATTATGATTAAAAATTTGGAGATAGGCGTGGTGGCCAACACCATTAATCCCAGCACTCAGGAGGCAGAGGCAGGAGGATCTCTGTGACTTCGAGGCCAGCCTGAAAAGAGAGTTCCAAGATAACCAGGGCTGTTACAGAAACCCTGTCTTTAAAAAAAAATGTATATGTATGATTAAATTAAAAACTATTGTCATACACCTCAGTGGACAAATGGGACATGGTGGGGGATGGAATGTAGTGAAGTCAGATCTTAGAATGTTTCTCACTTACTTCTTAACAAGATATATTTAATGGTCTTGCAGCTTCCAAAGGATATTAAATTCCTTTTAAGGATATAGCTGGTGCATGGTCGCTACCCTTCACACACCACCACTACATTCAAATGGAGTCACATGAGTCTAGAGTTGGGCAACTCCATAAGGATTATTTGAAGTTTTCCTCCTTTATAAGTCATTAAACAGGAGCACACATGGTGAGTTAATTTGCTAAGGCTGCTCTAACAAAATACCGTAGACTAGGTGGCTTAAACAACAGAAATTGAAGGGAAAGAGTGAGAAAGAGGAAAAATGTGTCAGATATTTGAAGGCTGAGAGTCCCACATTGAAACATCGGTCAATGAGAGTTCTCTCTTTATCTTCTGTGTGTCCTCAAATGGCATTGTCCTTTTGTGTGCACAGAATTGTTGTCTCTCTACCTGTTAAAAAAAAAAGTCAGTTACATTGAATTAAGGACCCATGTTTATTAGCTTATTTAATTTTCCTCTCTAACGAACCTGTCTCCAAATTCAGTCACAATGGCAGTTTCAGGAAATGAATTTTTCGAGGGCATGAAACAGTTCATAACATATTACTTCCCCTAACCCATTAAGCCTTAGTGTTGTGGTTTCCCACTGCCCCAGAGGGGGAGATGTGGTACATATTTTCATATGCCTTGCCGACATCACATCTTATGAGACAGGCTAAATGTAGAAACAATCACACCTACACCATGAGTCCCCAGACTCATGTATATTATAGAGATCACTTTCCTCTGACATGCTGTCAAGGAGTAGGCATTCCAAATAGCCTGGGCCTATGGGGGTCCTTGTGCATTAATAACTTAAAATGAAATCCAGATTTCTAGTATATGATTTGATAATTTTGATGTTCAGGTAAGAGCTGGGGTAGTCACCAGGAAATGGCCATATTCATCTACATTCAACAAGAAGCTGAAAACATCAATCTGAAGATAAATGAATATGGAAGCAAACATCAACAGGAAATACACCCAAGAGACCAGAGCCCTGCATCTGAACAGCTTCCAGGTTCCTGGCACCAACCCCTGGTCTCGTGCAGTGATTCTCAACCTGTGGGTCGAAACCCCTTTGGGGTTTCTAACAACCCTTTCACACAGAGGTCACATATCAGATATCTTGCATATCAGATATTTACACTGCGATTCATAACAGTAGCAAAATTACAGTTATGAAGTAGCAACAAAATAATTTCATGGCTGGGGTCACCACAACATGAGGAACTGTATTAAAGGGTTAGCAGCATCAGGAAGGTTGAGAACCACTGCTGTAGTGCCTCATGGACTAGAGGAAGCTGCGGTGGTTAAATGCACAGATTCAAACCTTCACTGTAATATCTAATGGCTATGTGACTTCAAGCAAGCTGCTTCCTCTGTGTTTAATTTCTTCTGTCAATGATGGAAAAGAGTAGTGATGGAAATGAGTAATGCTGCTTTGAGAGTAAAATAAATTAACATGTAGGAAGCATCCCATGTGTTGCTATCATAGTTAGAGTTTCTATTGCTGGGAAGAGACACCATGACCATGGCAACATGACCAAGGAAAACATTTAATGTGGTGGCTTACAATTTCACAGGTTTAGTCCATTATCATCATGGTGGGACATGGCGGTGTGGAGGCAGACATGATGCTAAAGAAGGAACTGAGAGTCCTACATCTTGATCGGAAGGCAACAGGAAGTGAACTGAGACACTGGTCATGGCTTGAGTATATATGAAACCTGTACGGTGCCACACTTCCTCCAACAAGCCCATACCTGCTCCAACAAAGCCGTATCTCCTAATAGGGCCACTCCCGATGAGTTTATGGGGGTCAATAACATTCAAAGAACCACAGTTTCTCATCCTATGGAGTCCTAAATATATGTTAATTGATTGGAACTAAATTCACCCTGAAACATTAGTCTCTGAGCAACAGGACTTTATTTTGTTCTCAATGCTTGGATGTCTGTTTGTTTTTGTTGGTTTTCCATTTGAAGGTTTAGATAAGCTCTGCTGGTTAAAACAAGAGCCTAAGATTACACTGGAAAAACCCAACTGTATGGACTATGAGCTCTACAGCACTAATCCCATCTCCAGTTTCTTGAACAATCACATCAAGTATACTTTTGAGCCATATCAAATACCCTGATAGGCTAATCAATGAAGAGAATCTGGAATGGGGATGGCCTGAAAACATAAATATGCTCATCTTAGCTCTGCCCATCCTGAGTAGGTATAAACAGGAGAGGAAGGACAGAGGCCATAGAAGCAGCTGTTGGGTAGCAGACAGATTGGCAGTTAGAGACAAGACTGTCTCGAGCAGACAACACAGAAGTGTTTTTTGCTTGTACCTTGCAAACTCATACCACTGTAAAATAGCAACAGTGGATTGATCATGTCCATGTCCAGGTTCTCAAATATTTATTTTACCGTTCTCTCTCTCTCTGTCTCTCTGTCTCTCTGTCTCTGTCTCTGTCTCTCTCTCTCTCTCTCTCTCTCTCTCTCTCTCTCTCTCTCTCTCATTCTCTCTCTCTCTGAAGAGGGGAAGCGAGACTGGAAAAAGAGAAAAGGGATCCCTTCCTGTCTTCTGAGAATGCAGCACAAAGACTCTCAAACAGGACTGGCTGTAGGATTTGTAAAACCCAAAGCAAAACTAAAATGTGAGGCCGTTGTTCAAGACACACTGAAGGGCAAATCAGATGCTCACTGGGTAAAGGTGTTTGATGGGCTAGCCTGGCAACATGAGTTCAGTCCCCAGAACCCATGGAAAGGTA